AAAAAAAAAAAAAAAAAAAAAAAAAAAGAAATGCAGTTGTACAAATATGAACATTTCGTTATTATGTATTACCTATAATATTTATCTACTTTACAACTGAATTATCAAGTAGTAAATTGGATTTTTGAGATATTTATCTATTAATTAATTGGAAATGAAAATACCTAATGATGAATGTCAACTGATATCTCAATGTGTTACTATGATAGACGAACATCGTTACATTTTACCATACTTACAATTACATTTGCTACAAATATCATCTATTTCCTTATATAACATTATCATTATCAATATACGTGGCCAATAAGAACAGATTTGTACTTGCATTGAAATTGTTAAGTCAACTCCGATCACTTCGCACAGCCCAGTATAGCGTGTATGTTTTCATTACTTTTTTTTTTTTTGTTTTCTTTCGTTTAAAAATACAATTTGTCATTGGATGGCAGCATTCTTATCAAAAGTTGGCTTGGAGAATGTTGTAATGACATTTAGGAAGAGATTAGGATTTGATTTCTAGTAGATACTAGCTTGTTAAGTTAATAATAAATATGTGAAATTGTTCCAATTGTTAATGACGATATCACAGAGGCTTGATCGGAATATCATTTGTTTTTTTTTTGTAGGAAAATAGGTATCTACATATTATGATGGTAATAGAGAGAGAGAGAGAGAGAGAGAGAGAGAGAGAGAGAGAGAGAGAGAGAGAGTTTTATGGTTACTCTTAACATGGGAAGTTAGGTCTTAAAAATGCAATACACTATACATGGGCTAAACGCATTACAACACGACTCCCTTCACCTGGTCATTAGAATAATTCATCAATATGTCTGTCAGCATGTTGAATGTGCGGCAATGTGGAGTATTCGTAATATTCGCTATTAGAATAGTAGTCGACTGCGAGTGATATTACTAGAGCCTGAAGTAAGAGAAGGAGTGATAAAGATTTTATTTTTATTATTTTATATCATTCCCTTGTTATTACTTGGGTCTAGATCGCAGCGGCTGCTACCTGCGTGAGATCAAACCGTTGCTTGTTCCTACTGTTGGTGTCATTTCTAGTTCTACTAACAATGGAAAGTGGTCTGAAAAAAATTAATATTATTTATTTTTATATATTAACTTACTAGAGTACTTTCTTTTTTTTTTGCTTTTGTTTTTTATTTAAAAATATTACAAAGAACTTACCGGATGGTACATGCGGATGAGGACAACCTACCACTTTATGTTCTCTAAACCAATCTGCACTCAACGGTCCTAGCAGTCCTAAAGGTACCATACTTTGTTTAGAATAGAAAATGTAATCTATTATGCCTTTGAAATCAAACCTGCAAGAAGGATAATTTTTCTTTATCTCAATAAAATCAATAAAAATGTATTTCTTTGTTGTTTCTTCATTTGATATTAAAATAATATATTTGTAACTTACGTGTAATTAGTGTAAGGCATAATGTCTTCACTGTAGGCAGATGCAAGTTTAAAAGAATGTGTAAATTCATTTGGTTTATCGCAACCAGAGATCTTTTGTAAGCATGATTTATAAGCTAATTCCTTAAAATCGCGATGATCAGCTGCAACGCGTCCGGATGTAAGAAATTCAATGACACCTAGGTTTTCAATGTAAAAAAAAAAAACAAAAAAAGAATTATTCATTAGTAATTATTTAATACTACAGATTTTTGTTTTATTTTTTAAATATATAATATTTAAACGATTTACCTGAATCAGGTAGGGAATTAAAATCGCCACAAAGTAAAAGCTGCACGTTGGAAGAATCAGGCTTATGACCAGGTCGGAAAGACTGGCCAGCTTGGTCCAAAATGGAACGTAATTCATTGCTTAACATCATAGTTTGTATCAATTTAACATCACAAAATTCAGGATCCCAATGAATGTGGGCTGTGCAAACTAAAATGGGCTGTTGTACTTGTGCAGGATCTGATGGCAGACCTGTGCATATAAATTATAATCGTAATTAATAACGAGATAAAATAATATATAATACGACAAAATTATTTATTAATAATATTATTATAAATTACAAGGGTAAAAATATTTTGTCCAAAAAAATTTGTATTTTAAGAGAAAAAAAAAAAAAAAAAAGAGAAGCTTGGTTCCGGCCGGGATCGAACTGGCGACCTTCTGCGTGTAAAGCAGACGTGATAACCGCTACACTACGGAACCCGATGGAAGGAACAAGTTATAAATAGAAGAGGTTCTCTGATAATTTATGAAAATAAAAAATTGACCAGCAATAAACTTAATAAACAAGAATTAGACTTTAAGATATAATAATATAATTTCTTTTATTTGAAAACATTGAAATTAAAAATTATATAATGAAGATTGCGCATATATATTATATTATATATATATATATATATATTTTATATAAGAAATTTATTTACAAATTATGACAAATGTTTTTTCTTTTTTTTAATTTGTTACATGCATTTTATAATTTTAAATAATTTCTTAAAAAAGAAAACAAGAATAATGAATCTTATTGTTAAAAGTCAAATGTTGTGTATTTAAATATATCTCGTTCTAGTTTTAATAAAATTATATACACTTTATTTGTATTTATATATTTAAAAGACAAATTATTGCAATTGTGGGAGTATATTAGGTTTACAATACAAAATAATTAATTAAGAGTCTTGATTTGTTTAAGAATAAAAAAGTTGGATATATAATTAATATGTAATATGATTTTCATAGATTCATCATTTAAAAAATGATAATCAAAGTGAACACTCCATAAAGAAGAAAGCAAGGATATGCTATAAGAGGACGCTGATTATTTTCTCCAGACATGGTAGACAAAAGTCGAGAAGCAGATAAAGTTGCCCAAGCCACAGCCAAAGCTGCGAAAACTAAACCGATTGTACCACGAAGAGTAGTAAAAATACTAAACGCTGAAAGTACTACAACAGGTAATAAACAATATCCTAATACAGATGCCACAGATAATAAAGTAATATTATTAGTACTACTCATTAATGTTAGAAGAATGTACATCATTAAACATGAGATTGTTGCTAGACCATAAACGTAACCAAAATGAGCTTTGGAACCGGCTAAAAGAAGGAATGCAGCAAGAGCTAAACAAAATGTAACCGGTCCAGCCAAATCAGAATCTTGAAGAAGATAATTAGCATCATCAATTTGTCCTCTCCTATGAAACGGATTTAATACGGCCAATGTCTTTTGTATAATCCGATCAGGGTCAATACCAAGTTCTTCTAACAACGGTGGTTCTACTTCATCTTCTCCAAAACCGTGGTCACCTATGAGTAGAATTTGTTCAATATCCAGTCTATCTAATATGTGTATATAACATTTCTCAATATTTCTTATCGTATGTTATAATACCTTTGGTAAAATCATCTTGCGAAAACATTTCACCAGCATAAGAGCCCTGCGTTGGATCTAAATAACTTTTAGGCGAATAAACATTGTATTGAGATGATAATTCTTCTGTGGTATAAGTATGAAACTCTGATTGTGGGTTAGGTGGTTCGAAATAACGTAACTCGGATTTATAAGGATTCTGAGTGTCCGGCTGAGCCCAAAAATTGTCTTGTCCAGTGTAACCAGACATATTGATAATTTGATTAGTCTTTTAAACGTGTGTTTATTTGTAACTTTCTTCCTCAAACAGTAATAGTGTGTTAACTTCGTTGACGTTACGAATCGAGAACCAGTAAAATCATTGTCGTTTAAGATTCATTCCTAGTTCAAATAAAATTCAATAGATATTGTTACTTGTATAATCATTACAGAAAACTGTTAATCAAACATACCGACAGTGGTATATACCGACGGTGGTATATACCGACGCAACTTCACGCGCCATTTTTCTCTGTTTTAGATTTTATCAATCCTTGTATGAAGTTTACCGAATACATTTATTTCTTTTCTTTTCTATAATGGGGAAATAAGTTAAAAATCAATTACATACTCTAATTAAATCTTATTCAAATTGATAGAAAACTGTGTTTAAAATCAAATAAACAAAATGTTAAATATTGTGTAGGTTCTTAAAAAACAATGAAGCAGCACACCATGCAGCACATTATATATCTTCACGACAATACTACTACCCCTACCCACTTTGTGAAATCTACCATTTCCAGAAGAAGACACAACAAATAAGAAAAGAAGCATATTATCAAACAAGGTCTGTATAATAATTCAATGAATATTTTCTTAATACAGTTATCCTACGTAATATAGTTTGTACATTATATTTCTAGAAGCTTTTTGGAATGAATTACAAGAAACACACCTGGTTCATGTAAACTTTGGTAAATAGAAGAAGAAGAAGAAAATAAAAGAGGGTGGGAGGGGATGAGAAACGATATTTTCTTCTTCTTTCTCTTTTCTTTGGAATTAGAAATTCTATGAGAGAGAGAGAAAGATAAAGAGAAGATAATATCGTGCGTGACTCAGCACCTACGCAATATTAACTCACTTATGTCCTAAGTAATCCTTGGCACGTGGCAGGAAGTAAAGTGATCGCAATAAAAGAGATGCTAACGGTATGAGGTGGTATCCCTAGGATGGTCATTCTAAATTAACGCCTGAGTGCCTCCATCGCCGGAAATCAGTGCGATAACTTGTTCTCTTACATGGTAGAAAGAAAGAGAGAGAGAGAGAGAAAGAGAGGGATCGTAACAAACCCAAGTATTATGCAGTTAGTTCGTCTATTTGCAATTAGCCAGGAGGCAAACGTTATCTCCCTGAGCAATTAAGCGAGAGTTACAAGGCGTCGGTGGTCGAATAACACGAAGAAATCGACCTCTAACGGGTAGAAAGAGTTAACAAGAGAGAAAGAGAGACAAAGAGAATATTAGTCTAAATATTAGGAAAATATTCTAACGTATTTATATTATCTTTTATCAGGAGAATTAAATAATATCACAGCCAAAAGTTTGTAATCGTTTATTTGATTTTTTTTTTTTAAATAAATTGTATATACTTATATTTATGATATAATTATATTTGTTTAAAATATTATAACATTTGTTTAGATTCATAATACTCTTATGCAATTTATATAGATAGTTTTAAGATAATTTTTAATGATCGATATGAAACTTTTCTATTGTAACATTTATGACAATTTCTATAAGAGAGAATCATGGAAAAAAATGTTATGAAATGAAAACTATTTGTAAAACTAAATTGGCCCTCAAATAATTTACAATATATTAACATGTTATTATTAATTTTGTTCATATAAATATTTTGTTTTATTGAATATATAAGAATTTCTCAAACTTTTGGCTAATATTGTATATAATAGTATATAGTATTCATACGTATATGTATAATGTGATAATTATGGATATTGAACGTTATCGATTCTTCTGTTTTATTTTCCGATATAATACATATTTCATCGAATTTTCGTTCAGGGTTTTCCTATCGAGGATCGTACCTACGAATGAAACTATGGGTATGAACCCGGTGGGAATGTATCTATTGACATTCCAAATGAAAATTATCGGCGTTATGGCTCTCGAAGTAGAACGATTCGGATTTTGTTTACTCATCGAACATATATATATATATATATATACATGCAGCATGTTGCATATATATATATATATATATACGTAGCGTACGTCGTTTGCAATGACACGGTGCGATATATCCAGATAACGTGAATTTCAATTCCATCGTTTAAATAAATGCTTTTCTCGGTTACGTTGTTCGCGTGCACAGGTTGTTGTTGTTGAAACATGAGAAAGAAAGAGAAGAGAAGAGAGAAGTGAAGCAGAATCAGCGTTGTAATATTTACCGAAGCGTGACGGATACGATAACAGTGTTTTGTTCGGATAACAAAACAAAAGTAAAACAAAAATAAAAAACACAACAACAAAAGAGAGAGAGAGAGAGAAAAAAATAGGGAAGAAACAAAACGCAATGGGGAAGAGAAAGAAAGAAATAAAAAAAGAAATGAAACAAAAGCGACAAGAAAAAACTAGAACAATGCTATGCGGATTAATTCGCATTTAAAAGAAACAAAAAAAAAACAGAGAACGGATTAATCGAACGTACGAATGTGTTACTCCCCTTCTCTTCTACCCTTTTATTTTTTTTAGTAGTTCGGATCAGAAAAATCGGGCGAGAAAAAATAGTTGTATTAAATATATAACAAAAGCAACCCCAACAAATCCAATCATATCAACGAGCAATAAGTTGCAGCAATAATTATTTTTCCTTTTTTTTTTTTCATAGTCTAATTCGTCCCCCCCCCCTCCCCATTTTATAATAAATTATAAATTATATATAATTTTATTATTTATTATATATATTATATATAATATTATTATATTATTATTATATATATTATAATTATATTATTTTATTATATATAGTTATATATATTTTTATTAATCATTATAATAAAAAGCTTGTTCGATAATAAGAACGCACGTATTCCACAAAAAATATTATCTTATATATTTTATTATTTATATCGTTAAACATAAATAAGAACATTTATACGTGTGGGTGGGGGGAGGTGGCAGGAGGGAAAATTGATGGAAATAAGAAAAGAAGAAAATAAGAAATGATAGAAGCTTGTCGGTCAAATTACTTACTGGGGATAGGGGTAGGGATGGGGATGGGGATGGGGGTGGGAAATTGTTGCAAAAGTAGAACGAGAAAAAGGAAAAACCATATATTAGTGTTCGTTCATTTTCTTTCTTTCTTTGTTTGTTTGTTCGTTCATTCGTTTGTTTGTTCTCCTTGCAAGACTATAATTAATGATGAAGAAGTTGCTTCATCGGCAAAGCTTTCAACGTTAGTATTACTATACTTACTTACTTACCCCCGTAAAAGAAGCAAACTTATGTTGTGCGTGATGGTCGCAATTTTCGTTCTGCTAGGGGTGGGGGTGGGAAGAGGGATGGGTTTAACCATAACGAAACGAGAACACTTTCTTGAGCTTCAATTCGTGTTGTTAGGTTTGATATCTTTGGTGATATGTGGAAGTTGTTGTTGTTGTTGTGTGAATGGGGTTGGTATGAGAAGAATCAAAAGAAGAAATAAATGAGAAAAATACAAAAAAAAAAATAGAAGAAGAAGTGGAACATATTTTTTGTCAAAACAAATGAAGCATAACAGTAGCTATGAGAGTAAGAGAGATGGTAAAGCATCTGCTGTCTATAAATCCCATTCCGCCCCATAAGAAATCGAATCACGAAAGAATCTTTAATTATTTTAGGGATTTATATTTAAATAATATTCACGTTTTTATTTTTTTCTCATTCTATCTTTCGAAACTAGATTGTTACTATAAAAAATACTACACGAGAGAGAGAGAGAGAGATAGAGAAAAATGATGCACCACGTTCACGCACAATAGGAGGGTGGTAGGGGATGTGGTGGTGTTGATGGCGGTGGTGGTGCAGTCACGAAATCCGATTATCGATACGATATTGGCTTTCGACTATAAGGAACGATTCATTTGGAATTTAATCTTGATTTTTTGTTGTCGTTTTCTTTTCCACCCTTTCTCATCCCCCTTCGATAAAATCAAATTCTTTATTGTATAAGTAGGATGCTGGGGAATGAGAGAAGAAGAAGAAGAAGAAGAAGAAGAAGAAGAAGATGAGGAAGAATGAATATTATTTAATTTATTGGGACAAAACGCTGGGATTAAAAGTGTCCCACTTTTTTTGATGCACCGTATATGCATGCATGCATGCATGCATGGTGCATGTATTTGAAATATTGCAATAGTTTTTTATTTGCGTATAGATTTAAAAATTATATCATCGTCTTATTTACGTAAAGAGACAATTGACAAAATATATTTATTTATAATATATTTATATTATTATTATATATTTTATATTATTATTATATTTATATTTATTATTAATATATTTATTCATTTGTATTGACAAACATTCAAGTATACCAATTACGATTTCATCAATTATTGCAAACAATTTGAACAGTGTTTTTTTTTATCTCGACAATTTTATTTTTATGGCTTTTATTTTTATGCAACGTAGAGTCGTCTATTTTATTATTATCTGAATAAATCCTATATCGTAAAGAATTTAATCTAGATTATTAAACGAATTAAATTTTCTTATAACAAACGAAAAATAAAACTTAATTATGTATACGTGTAAATGATTAAAAAAAAAGAAACAAGAAAACGGTTTAATAAATTGTCAATAAATCTCTCTTTCTCTCTCTCTTTCTCTCTCTCTCTCTCTCTCTCTCTCTCTCTCTCTCTCTCTCTCTCTCTCTCTCTCTCTCTCTCTCTCTCTCTCTCTCTCTCTCTCTCTCTCTCTCTCTCTCTCTCTCTCTCTCTCTCTCTCACTTTATGTGTGTGATAATATCTCGGAAAAAAAAATTCGTCGCGCGTTGAGCCGATCGTAAATCGATTAGAACAAAAAAAACAAAACAAGACAAACTTTAGAAAGAATGGATCGAATGAATCGAAAAGGGGTGATCGAAAGTTTCCTACCACTTTGCTTCTATCTATTTCTCTCACTCTCTCACACACACACTTTCTCTCTCTTTCTCTCATCTTTCTTCCTTTGGGGGAAAGGCAGTAAATATTTCCGAAGTTCGTAGACGTTAAACGTCCGTTTCCGTGGAATATCCGTACGATATACTCTAAAGCTAGGATATATTCCGTAAAAGCCCCCCACGTTACTATTACCACCACCACCACCACCATCACCACTACTACTTGCGTATCCCTCGAAATCGTACGGCCGATAAAAGCACACACACACACTCCCCATCTCTCTCTCTCTCTTCTTG